GAAACTTTCCGATCGCACCTCGTACATGTATAAGTTTAGTTAATCTGTTTGTGTACTATTCTTCATTATTATTTCATTATTATTGTATGTATTATCAGTGTTTGTCTGTTATTGGCTTCTTGCTGTTGGCAAACACGTAAATAAATTAATTGAATTGAATTATTACGATACATTTTCAACGAGTTTTTAGTAAGAATTATTTTATTTAGTTAGGGCCGATTAGGTCTCTAACCCTATCTGCTTCACATATTTCGGTGAATGGGACAGAGGAATTGAAATTAACTAAACGATAATTTACTATGATGTCCTTAAGACACATTATTATAATAAGAGAAGTTAACTGACAGTGATTATTTTGCTATCCTTAAAGTCTGAGATTCTAGAATATAGGCTATATCTTGGTATCAAATACCTGCATCTCAACTCACTTTTCCCAGTGTGTTCTCCAGTAGTTATTGTGGTCTGGATCTGGACCCCAGTGCAGAGTGGAACCCACCAATGTGTTGCCCACGTTGACGCCATTTCCGTCTTTATAGATGTCGTTGCCTTTGCTCTCCATGATATCTATCTCACCAGATCGTGGCCATCCGCCATACACGGAGTTCTTTGGCAACATCCAAATCGCTTAAAACATAACAGAACTATGAGAAACAAGAGGTTCTAACAGACTTGGCTTGTCATATTGTTACAGGGATGTTACATATGCTTGATGTTTAATATAAACAACAATAATAATAATGAAACGTAAAATTACAGTTTTATGTGACTAATCCACACCGAAATAATATTAAAAACAAATCTGCCGAATATTATAACAATAAGCGATTATTTCAATAAATCTTCAGGTTCCTGTAAAAGTCAATATGACACATTTGTGTTTTCCTCGAGGTTTACATACGAAAGCTCAAAAAAGTCACGATTGTCCATCGTAGGCCTAAAAATACGAGTATTATTGCCGTTTGGTCTTTGTGTTCTTGGTGTTGGAGTGGAGATTTTAATTTTATTTAAACCGTATTAAATCTGTAAATAATCACAATATAGTTCATATAACAACAGATAATCAGTTAATCATTAACAACTCAGACAATTACTACCTTCGCACCTCCCTTAGCAAATTTCGCTACTATCTTCAGCTGGTAGTATATGTGTTGATAACCTAGCTCACACCTTTGGAGTTCTAGCCAGTATATAAACGTTGAAAATAACTAATTTTGTAACAAATTACATGGAATTGAGACCATATTTAGAAGCTGATAGTTGTCAAGCTAATCAAATAATTCCCCACTTTTATGAAACCTAAAGGCACGTCCTTATCTAGAGCCACATACAACCAATTTACGCCGTCAGCACCTTTTTCTCAAGAACCTCGAACGTGTGTTCTTTCCTTAGCCAAGTTAGGGATAAATAATCGTAAAAATTGTACCTGGCCAGATCCAGTCACCTCTTGGTAACTTAGCTCTAACTTCCACCCTTCCATATTTGAATGCGAAATTGCTCGTTATCCGGGCAGACTGAAGTGGTTGTACGATGTCGTTGCCAGCGTTTCTGAAAAACACAATCTTATATTGATTTCCGATAAGTTTTATCGCTCAAATGCGATAGTTTGCTGATAAAAATTACTAGCTTCTGCCTTCACACGATCTTAGAAATACAGAGTAGCCTATTAGTATAATATAAATACGCGCTTAAAAACTCTGTAGATTTTTTAGCATGCAGATATTTCTGATGGTGATATTATTGAAAGGATACAGAATTTTGGAGTACATATTCTGCTATTCCAAATGCAATTTTCCATTACACATTGCATATCCGCAGTTTGGAATCAGAATTTTATTGTATATGGGATATAGAGCGTAAATTAAATGTCACCCCAAAGGAGATATTTTAGCTTTTAAATGTCCGGCCATGTAGAAGAAAAATGTTTCAGATTAGTTTGTTAAACCTGGAATAGATTGTATTTAAGTGTTGGTTATTCACTTACGAAGTACATGGCTGCATGTTGCAATCCTGATACGACAGACTGCCGCTGTACAAGAAGTCATCACCATATTCCGCGGAAGTCCAAGTTGGTCTGATATATAAGACTCCATCCTTTACGTAGCTGAAATCAGGAAAGTCAGAATATGGCTTAGGTAAAGCGAAAAATATCCATGAAACCAAGTGGCCTATGTATTATCTGTACAGCACATCAATACTGCATAAAGCACATAAACGACAGCCTAAGCTTACAATTACAAGGGCACCTTACGATAAATATATTTATTTATAGTTTATTTAAACACGTTTTTTCATTAGCTCTGACTATGTACCGTCGAGTGAGAGGATGGTGGTGAATAATAAATTGGAAAGGGTGTGTAAAGAACCGTTCCTGACATATTTTAAAACACTCTCTCGGCATTTGCCTGGAGGGACTGGGTATAATCACGATAAACTTCAGTCAGGTTAGGGATCTCCCGAATATGAAGCACACGTTCTAACCACTCTACCACGACTTTCGGTTCATGCTCTAAAAAGACGCTTCGTGCACAAATAGGGCTGTTAATTTCAGCATTTGACGGTAATTATCTTTAAAAGAAATTGCACGAGAAGGCATAGTTTTATCTGCTATTTTAAATAGGCTTGAAACTTTGTGTCTCTTCCTGCAGAAAAAAGGCTGTTTGAGGATGTCTGAGAACAAGGTACTGGGGAGAATATTTGGGATTACCTGCTGTCTCTTGTTGGGCAAAGATTGCAGGTGTCATTTGATTTACATTAAAGGTGACAAATTTATTAGCCGAAAAGTTGCAAAGAGTTAAAAAAACGCGGCTGAAATTGAAATGCAAGGCAAAATGCAAGTAGATCTGTTATATGTACTCATAGATCAAGTATACGACTTGTATAACGTGTGAGCATTTAACTGCTTATAGCTGAATTTTACACACGTGAGTGACTTTTCTGCTGAATATACATTTATATTTTTGTGCGGTATGAACATTAATCAGTTAATCTTTGTAAATATCAAAAAATTCATTATTCTCACATCTCAGATCGAAAATTTGTAGTTCCCTTAATGTCTGTTTATTATTCATAATTTATTAATATGGCGGTCCTATGTGAACATTATAATGTTATATTCATCTTTCACTTACGTTGAAGTAGGAGAGAAACACTTAAGCAAAAGTCTTACTGAGAAACTGACAGTTGTTCAGCTGGTCAAGAGCAGACACCCCCCCCCCCCCAC